AAACAAAAGATATTAATTTATTTAAAATTTTTTAAAAACACATATTTTTATTTTAGAATTATTTTCTATAAAGAATTTAAACATACATTTCTATAATAATATTAATTGAAGATTTTTTAAAGTTATCAATTATAAAAATTAAATTATTTATACTTTGATAAAATAATTAGTAAAATTATTATTAAAATTGTAAAAGCTATTATATATTTAGCTTTTATTAACTTATATTCATAAATATAAAGCTTTATAATCTTTTTATAAACACTTATCCTCTTTATTTTACTTTATCTATATTTTTCAAATATCCTTATAAATTATATTAACTAAATAACACTCGTTAAATTATTTGTTTATTAAAAGAAACAAATTTAATAATTAATATAAAATTAAATTAGCATAAAACAATATTCTTTAACAAATAATAAACTCCTATAAAAAGAATATAAGAGTGAATAGATTAGCAGTTACACAGTGTTTTATTAACACCAACATTAAGATAGAAATTTTTTAAATTTACAAAAAAATTAAAAGTTTTATAAAAATTTTAATGAACGATCAACAAATTGAAAATGAAAAGGAATTGGTTGAAAGAAGACAAAGACTCATTACTGAAAATAAAAAACTACTAAAAATAATAGATAAGCTGCTTAAAAACGATAAAACTACAACTAAAGTTAAATCAAGTATTAAATATAAAGAAATTAAAGATATCTACAATCTAATAGTTAATATAGTTAACACCAATAAAAATACTAACTATAAACACTATAAAGATGTGATAAAATCTATAAATGATGATATTCTTTATAAAAACATTCTTAATAATTATAAAGAAGAAATAATCAAAGAAGAAAAGGAATCTGAAGAGACAATCAATCCAGTAACAATAACGGAAGAACCACCAGTAGACATTAAAGAATTTTTTAATAAAGAATAATTTTATTTCTCAACTTTTAGAGCTGCAGCCTGAGATTTCAATTCCTCCAATCTTAACTTCTTAGCTTTCTCCTGTTCGATATGAGTTTTCATAAAAGCAACATTACGTCTAAAGAAATTACCTTTAGCTTTCATTCTGTAATCATGATATTCTTCACAACTCAATTCACCTTCATCTTTCATTTCTTTAAGAGTATTTCTCATAGATCTAATGGTTTTAGTCCAGATAGTCTTATCAGACATTCTAGCATTTTTAGTACCTTTTCTGGATCCTCTACCCATATGTCTACCTTTACTTTTAGCTTCAGCACGTGCTCTAGCCTTTGCCCTACTGTTAAATTTATCTTCTTTTTTAGCAATGAACCCTTTTTCAATTAATGCTTTAACACCTTCTATGGTATTAACAGCTTTAAATTCTTCATATTTAGTTGGGTTAAGCCATACTTTATTAGATCCACAATTGAATAATCTCATAGCAATTCTTATAACTGATGCTGTTTTTCTCATAATTGATCGTTTTATGGGTTAAAAATTTTTTATAAAAATTTATTAGAACAAACAAATTTATTTAAGCCCTTCTCAATTCAATAGAAATAAATGTTATTAAAAATGAATATTTTATCAAAAAAATGTCCAGATTGTGGAGAAACAAAAGATATAATAGAGGATTATAAGAACGGGTATAACGTATGTGCAAAATGTGGTTGTGTGTTGAAAGATAGAGTAATCGATGAGGGTATTGAATGGAGAAACTTTTCTGATGGTTCTAAACCAAATAAAAGCAGAGTTGGATCTAGTGAGAATCCATTTATTGAAAATACACAATTAGACACTATGATTGCTACTAATGCTGTTGGTGCTTATAATTTAAGTAAGATCCAATCAAAATCTTATATGAAATCAGGAGGGAAAAACTATAAATCGGGAATGAATCTTATAACAGCACACTGTGAACAACACAATTTGTCACAGGCTGTACAAGATAGGGCTTTATATGTTTTTAAGATTGTGGAGGATAAAAAATTAGTTAAAGGAAAGAATGTTGAGGGAGTAATAGCAGCTTGTATTTATATAGCTTGTAAACAAGAAGGATGTCCCAGAACATTTAAAGAAATATCAGTTGTTACATCAATTCCAAAGAGGGAAGTAGGTAAGTGTTATAAAATGATATTTAGAGATGTTGATGGCGTTAAGTTATTTGAAACTGCTGATATCATTCCAAGATTTTGTTCTGAATTAAGCTTAAATGGAAAGATTCAATCAGTTGCTTCAGAAATTGCTAAAAATGTTTGTAATTTAGAAATTTTGACAGGAAGAAGTCCTGATTCAATAGCAGGTGCTGTTATTCTTTTAGTGTTACATTTATTTCCAGAAAAATTAAGTGCTCAAAGAAAAATAGTTAATGTGGCTAATGTAACTGAAACGACTATTAAAAATACTTATAGAGATTTAATTCCACATCTTAAAGATATTCTTCCATCTGAATATTATCGTGAAGGAATTGAAGAATTTTTTATCAAATAAGTTTATTAAACACTTTTATTTCTTCTTTCCAAATACTTTCTTCCTTCTTCCATTAGCATTTGTATGTTGTCCTCTTACTTTCAATCCCATTGCTAATCTGCACTTTCTGACTTCTCCATGCTTTTTTCCTCTTTCAATTAACATTCTATGAAGTCCATCAAGCTTAATACCAACTAAATGTTGATCCTCACCAGTTTCATAATCCTTTTGGTTGTTCAACATGTAGTTAGGAATACCATATTCAAGAGGATTGTTAATAACATCTACCAGTCTATTAATTTCTTCCTGGTTAAGTTCACCTGCAAACTTATTAGTATCAACTTTAGCCTGGGTGGTGATAGCATGACCTATTCTTCTACCGATTCCTCTGATTTTAGTTATTGAATAAGCTACTTTCTTTGTACCATCTATGTTAGTATTAAATAAACGTACTATGTGTTGCATATTATCAGCATCAAACTTTCTTCTATTATCTTTAGTTTTAAGTGCCATTTCTTATTAAATTGGGGTTAAAAAATTTTAAATAAAAATTTTTTAAAATGATCAAACAGTACAAATTAGAATTTAAAAAACAGAACTTATCACTTTTAAGAATACCTGGAAATTTGTCTGATGAAACACCAATTAAAGCTGAGTATAAAAATGAATCAAAAGAACTTAAATTAACATTTGAAATAAAACAAAAATCTAGTAATAACACTATAGAATTGAGTGCAGTACCTTCTATCCCCCTACAATACTTTTATTGTTATAAGGAAAATAATAAGATAATTTTAAATCAAATTGAAAGAGTTTATCTTTTAAGAAATAATCATATTAATTATAAAAGTGATTATTCACATAAAAGTTATGATAAAGCTCAGAGTAGAGAAGAACTGGAAATGAAGAAGAAAAACATAAATTATAAGTTAAAAAAGATTCAATCAGAAAGCAGTGTAGATTTGTTAATAAAATAATTTTTTAATAAAAATTTTTAACCCCAATCAGATGAGAAAATTCTTTAGAGATAGACACGTAAAACACCCAGTAACTAAAATTAATTTAGAAGCGGTTGTTAATAAAAAACATAAATCCAGTGCAACTAAGAAATTATGTAAAGACATTGCATTTGAAGTATGTGGGTTTAATCCTCTTGAAAGAAAAGTTATGGAATATATTAAGAGTGATAACTCTAAGAAAGGTCTTAATTTATTAAAAAAGAGATATGGTTCCTTAAAAGCTGCCAATAAGAAGTTTGAATTGTTAAATAAGAAGATGAGATAAATAAATTCTTAAAACTAAATTTATTAGAAAACAACTTTGTCTTTAGATTTTTAAATAAAAATTATAAATAGTAGTTTAAAAATGATTGAAAACTATTATTATTTTAAAGTTAATGAATTTTTAGTTTATTCAATTTTTTATTTAAATAAATATTTTTAAATGATTATCTAATTATTTTAAAAAATATTATTTGTTTTAATAAGCATTGAATTTAAAAGTTTTTTAATAAAAAAATATGTTATTTTACCCAAAGGAATCAAAATGAGTTGTTGGACTGTTCTTCATCCACATGTTTTAGAGTCTCTTCTGACTCGTTAAAACTCATATTTAAATTATTATTTCTACTCATTTTATTGATTAATTGTAGGGGTAAAATTATTTTCCAAAAATCCATTAGAGTTTCTAATTAGGATTTTGCCTTTAGGTAACATGAGTAATTTTAAAAATTTTTATAAAAACCCCACTTATTGTTAATAATAAAAAAGATTTTAAAGCAGAAAAAATTAAAGACTTAGAGGTTATAGGAAAACCAATGAAATCACAACAGAGTATCTCATAAACAACAATTATATTAATTAAAATTAACTTTTTTTCATAAATAAAACAATGCATTAATTTTTTATAAATTAAATATTATAATAATTCAATAAAAAAAAGGTTTATCATGTATTAATACAAAAATTTAATTATTTTAATTACATTTTAAATAAAAAAATAAAAACATTTATAAAATAAATAAACTAATTTATTTACTTGCCTTGTTTCAATTAAATTTCTTAAAAATCTTTTTTACATACCAATTGTTAAATCCAGTATTGATTAAATAGAAATTGTAAACATCAAATAAATGCTTTAGTATTTTCACGCTATCAATAAATTCATCTTTTGAATGTTTACAAGCCTCTTTTAAAATTATGTAAACATCGCTTCCATCATCTTCAATTAAAATTTTTTCTTTCTTCAAATAATAAAGAATTAAATCATAATATTCTGTATTTCTACGAGATAGATTATTTAACGGATCAAACAATAATACACCACTACTATTATTTTTAATAAAATCACGAACAATTTCCCTAAGGAAAATATTCGCAATTTTTTCAATTTTCTCGATCTCATCCTCACCAAATTCTTTTTTTAGTATTTCTATACATTTAGAAACTTTCGATTTAATTTGGTTATGTATAGAATATTGGGAGAGGTAGACTCGAAAAGGATTTATGATTTTGAAATTATTTGTTTTTGGAGGAGTCATAGAAGACGATACTTCATCATTTTTCATACGATTAAAGAACCTAGTAATAACATCATTTTTATCATCAAAAATGAACTTGGATGCGAAGGAAATTCTTAATACATTTTCTAATCCAGTTAGACATTTTACAATTCAGTTGATGAATTCTCATGTTTTTTTAACATACTATAATAAACTTGAGTATTTTTCAACTTATCAATAGTTAAACCATCTACTTTCTTCTTCAATCCTTCATAAAGTCTACTAAATATTTCATTAATTCCATTTTCAATAAACACAACCATTTTTTCTTCATTTTCTCTTGAATATTGATACTCAAATTTTTTAAATTCATCAAGTAAATCAGTAACATTAAAGCTAAGGTTAGGAATGTTTTTTAACTTACCACAACAGTCTTCTATTAAATCTAACGATAATTTTATGTCTTTTTCACAATTTTTATGGGTCTTAACTGATTTCACACTTTTATCATTTTTATACAATTCTCTAGTTTTCACCCTAACGTAAAAATAATACCAGTTTTCAACAGAATCAACTAACATTTCAATATTGTTCGTTAAAAATCGTTTTCATCTTCAACCATTCTTTTTATCTCCTGAAAAACTTTCTCCTCTTGCTCTTCACAAAGATGATTTTTTCCACTACGTTTAAATGGTTCTGTAGATACACCCGCACTAATAATAAACTTCATAACTGTTATCCACAACATTTTTATGGGTTAAATTTTTTTTCTATTTAAATATTAAAAAATCAATTTACTCTTTAATATTTATTGATAGAATGTCTTTTTATTAATAATTTTTTTTAAAACTATTAAACAATATTAAATAATGATTATATTTTAAAAACTGTTGTGTTTTTCTGTTTGAAGAATATTTTTTTATAAAAAATATTTTATGATGTCTTTTTTATTAGTTATTATCATTTACTAAGAAAAATATTTTTTATACTAAATGAAATATTTTTCATAAAATTTTTTTATTAATAAAAACATTGATTTTTATATTTACATGATATAATATTATAACTGCGCTCATAATATTAAGTTATATAGATTTTTTAGCATCTATTAAAGCATATAGTTCTTAAATAAATTCATAGAATATACGTTATAGGCTTTTTTATTTAACATATAATAAAATCTTAGCAATTATATATAATGATGTTAATTTATATTAAGAAGAGTAATTGAAGAAACAATTACTTGTTTAACTATATAATATTTATCAATTAAAGATAATAAATTGCTTTTAATGAGAGTATTAACTATATAATAATTATCAATTAAATATAAAAATCGTTTTTAATGAGAGTATCTTACATCTTTTTATCGGTTAAAGTTTTATAAAGGTATAATTTAATTGATTATGTGTAGAATATAGTGATTGAATAGTTTTATAATACTTCTTAAATGTTTTATTAAATTCTATTACAAAAAATGATGGAAAAGTTAGTTAGATAAATTGAAAAAATATTTAAAACTTATTGGTGATGAAGTAAAGTATTTTTATTTACATTATTAAGTAATTAAATTCTATTAACATTATCTTTTTATTCGATATCTAAAGAATGAGCCTATTAAAAACATTTAAACTTTAATAAGTTATGTAGAGATTAAAAGAGTAGTTTATTATTTAAATTGAAATTTTTATCTATTTACATCTTGTTGTATTTTTCTTGATACTAAAGACTAGTTTTTATATTTCTTATCAATAATTTTTAGAAATTTTCATGTTATAGATTAAATTATTTATTTATCATAACATAATACGAACTTCTAAAAATATCTGCTTTAGAGTCTTTTCTGACTCTAAGAACAACTATTCGAAATATTTTTTAAATTATTTTATAAAATATAATTTATGATAAAATTTTTTATAGATCTTAATTCCAATTATTGTTAATTTATTTATAAAATAAACATTATAAATACTACTGTTGTTATTTGTGTTATCTTATAATTTATCATTGGTTTTTAGTTTTTAACCTTTAAACATAAATAATTTATTATAAACAGTCTTAATATTTATAAATATCTATGCCCTACTAAACGATAATTCACAATATATGTTTTTGTACTTCTTTTCTCTAAAAATAATCAAGAAAATTTATTACTTAACATGTATTAATATTTAATATTACTACTTTA